CCAATCAGCGCGCGGCCCGGGGCGCCGCGCGGCTCAAATCCGCCCGCCACCGCCGCGCGGGCGCCTCCGATTGGCCGAGGGAGCTGTCCGTCACCGCCCCCTCCCGCCGCCGGGGCGCAGCGGGGACCAGCGGCCCCCGGGAGCGGCCCCGCCGCGCCGCGAGCTCTGCGGGCGGGGAGGCGCGCGGCCTTAAAGGGGCCGCGCTGCGGGCAGCCCGGGTGCGGCGGCGGGCGCGGCGCGGCGGAGGCGGAGCGCCGCGTACTGACCTGGGCGGCGGGCGAGGCGGGGAAGCTGCGCGGCGATGGCTCCCCCGGCGCGGAGCGCGCCTCCGACGGACTCAGCCCGTGACGGGTTCCGCCATCTTGGAAATTTTTTTTTAGATGGGGAGTCACGTGGTGCGACCATTTTCTCCCCGCGGCCAATCAGCGCGCGCGGGTTATTTATAGCCTCGCGGGGGGAAGGGAGCCAATCGGGCCCCGCCCCGCGCGCCCCCGGCCACGCCCCGTGGCGCGCGGCCCGTCGCCATGGTGACCGGGGGGCGGGCCGGGGGCCGCCATGTTGGCGCCGAGCCCGCGGCCCCATCGGGATCGGGAATTGGGGTCGGGCTGTGGGGCCGGACGGCATCGCAGGACCGGGATCCTGACCCCCGAGCCCGCAGGAAATGCGATCCCTGCCSTATGGACGGTATTGCAATAAAACGTGAAACTTTGGGGGGTTTTTCCCCCCGGTTTTCCGCAGCCKCGCTCCCGCTCCCCAGTGGGCTGTTTTGTTTGATCCGTCGGGTATCGTCTGTAACAGCAAGCGAGGGGTGAACGACGAAAAGGGCAGGGCGAGGTTCAACATCCTTGCCTGAGACACCGAGAGTAAATAAATACACAAATACCATTAAAAACAAAAAGGAGTTGTGCGGCACCCTTCTGTACCCCTGTTGTTGCAGAGACCATTCAACATTTAATTGATGGTTCCGTTTCCTGAAGAACTGCCCCACTGACCTGTCTGTCGGGTGTTCCTTGGCTGGCACGGCTCGTTTCTCCCGAATTTTGTTGTTCCACCTTTGATTCAAAACTCCCCCAAGTCCTGCTCCAAGCATTCCAGATGATGGGAAGCGAAATCCTGCAGCATCGGGGGGGACCTGTGGGACTCAATCCTATGGGAACATCCCGTCATTATCCCATTACCCCTGTTCCTAGAGCTGCMCCATCCCTGGAAATGTCCTGGAAAAGCTGGATGGGGCTGGGAGCAACCTGGCATAGTGGCAAGGGAACTTTCCTGCTGAGCTTCCAAGGAGTTTCTTCCCATCCTTGCCTGAGACAAGCTGAAACATGACATTCCTCACTCGCAGGCAGCCATCCCAGCACGCTTTCTGGTGGGTTTGATTAATTGGCTCCTGCTAAATTGTTTTTAAAACTTCCAGATTTAACAAAAAAAAAAAAAAAAAAAAAAAAAAAAAAAAAAAAAAAAAAAAAAAAAAAAAAAAAGAAAAAAGAAAAGAAAAAAAATGAACCCGTGTCGTTCAGCCATCTGGATTTACATAAATTCTGGGACCTGATGGGAATTGCTAACAACTTTGTCCCTCTCTCCAAAATCTGCATATATGTGGCAGTACATAAATGCTGCTCCTTTTCTCTTTTACCTTTTCTGAGGTTTTTAGCACCTACGTTTTCATTTTARTGGGCCGCCCTTAAAAAAGTCCCTGGCATATCTTTTAAAGTTGTTTTTTAAAAAAGATCTGACCTTTAAAGTTGCTTTTTTTCCAGACTCCCCAGGGAATGGGCATTGCCCATTACATTTTGATAGGTTTGTGCTCGAGCTTACAGGCAGCATGGCCTGCCCCGGAGCAACCCTGGAGTTTGGGGATGTTTTACCTGGAATACACCCCTGGCCCAAAGCTGAAGCCCTTTTCGTTTCGTTTTCAGCTTCTTTGGGCTCGTGGGCTTGTTTGTTGTTCTTTGGCTGGTGAGGTTTTAGGTTTCCTCGTAGGGTTGTTCGGAGCGGTTGACRGACAGATGGACGGGTGTATAAATAACCTCCCAAATTATTTTGGAGTGTCAAGAGACCTGTGGGTGGAAGGGCTTGGGGGCTAGAAGGTCACTGATGGCAGGGTGATATTTGCCAAGGTAACGGGTCTAATGCTGGAGGCTGGCATGGGGCTGGCATGGGATTCACCTGGGGCAGCCAGGTGAGTGCCCTCCCTTGTGATCCCCATTTCTGCTCCTGCTGGGGGATGGGGTTTGGTCCCAAATCGTTCAAACAGGGGTTACAAGCAATATTTTTGCCCAAATGGTGATTGCTGGTGCTCAGGGTGACCCACCTGTGTCCCCACCGAGCTGGACATTGTAGTGCAGCACCGTTCCCGTGGCTGCAGACCRCCAGGGCCGCTTGCCTGGCCGCATCAGCTGCCTCCTCTTTCTGCACTGCTGAAGTAGTTCTGAAACAGGAAACGAGAGGAGAAAACTGTGCCCTGAAAGTTGCCATGGAGTGTGAGTTTTACCTTCAGCTTTTGATTGATGCCGTACCCGTGGCTGTGGGTGTGAGGACGTGTCTCTATTAATACCCAGTCTAGGCTAACCTGTGCATAATGGCAGAAAATTAAACCTCTGCCATTTCTCATGTCAATTAGAGCTCAGAGATTCACAAGGGAAAGGCTTCTTGCTGTATGTTAAATGCAGCATATTGGCTATAGCTGTATATAGTCTGTTTTTGCTGTAATTGCAGCTGAAAAACTCACTCAGAAGCCAGCTGAAGCAAAAAATAAAAATCTAAAAAAAAAAAAAAAAAAAAAAAAAAAAAAAAAAAACCCACCCTGGCAGAGCTAATTCATAAAGATTTAAATAAAAAGCAATTACAGAACTTCCCGCCTACCTCCACCTCATCTTTAGCTGAACTCCTTGTTTGTCAGGAATGATTCCATTTTTTATGTTCTCAAGCAGGAAACAGCCATCACAACACTCCAGCTAATTTCCCTCACTAGTCACGGGGAGCTGGTGAAAGTAAAATTGGGTGCTTCAGCTTTCCACTCCAATCATGCCACTCCACAGCCTGAGAAAAAAAATAAAAGGAGGATAAAGTTAGGAAGGGAGCCATCAGGAACTTCCTCTGGAACTTAGACACCAGAGATCTACTCCAAGTGCAGGTCCCACTTGGTTCCCTGGAGAAAGTCAAGCCTGGACACAATTTCCAACCTGTTGATTGCTTCTTCTCCTTCSTCCTGATCGTTCAGTCTCCATCACTGACCTCCCCTGGCTTTGCTGTCCCACCCATCACCCTTCTGTGCTTTATCTCCCATTCCCTGTTCTCCATCCTACCCACAGCACTCTGATTTACTCCCTCCTGCTGTCAAAAGAAAATCCCAACAAACCCACTCCACTTCCATCTGTGACGGGACGGGGAATGTTCAATTTACATCGCCCTGCTCCTGGGGTTTCATCCAACATACCTTTTCTGTGTTTTTTTTTTTTTTTTTAACCTGGTGAATTCTGCTTTAGCTGGAACTGCTCCTTCTCTCTCTTGCAGGGATAGACACCTCGTGCTTGCCACGCTGCAAAATCCATCCCCCGTGCAGCCCTGTCTGGCTCAGAGCGAGCCGTGAAGCAGAACAAGGTGCCTCTCCTCCACTTTTGAGCCCCACCACGGCTGTGCTTGGCTGCAGGAGCCGTTTCCCAGCTTGTCTGCACACCCAACACTTCATCAAGTCTTCAGCACTCAAGGCCTGAAGAGCTGAAATCCCAGAGCAATCAGAGCCAGACTCTCAGGAACAAGTTCATGCTGTTGGTTTTGGGCAAAATCAAGTCCCTGTCCCCCACTTGGTGGGGAAAAAAAGYGAAGTTCAAAGTGAAGGTCACAACATAAAGTTTGCTTTTTGTCCATATTTATTTTTGCTAATGGAGATGCATTGAATTGTTATGGCAGTCATTTTACAATGGCTAAGTACAATACACTTTTCAAATAAAACTCCTTGCTAAAATTTGGTTTCAATATTCTTCTGCATTTTATCTTCTGGTTTATTTAGGAGCTATGCTCTCAGCTGTGCTATAGAATATCCTGAGTTGGAAGGGATCCACAAGGATCCTACTGGACAGAGAAAAATTATTCTGTGGCCATTACAAACCACTGTCCAAAAGTTCTTACCATGTCATCATCCCTCTAAATTAAACTGAAGAATTAAGAGCACGAAAGAAATCTCTTTTCCTCCTCAACTGCTTTTTTTTTTTAGTTGAGTCAATTTTAGTAGCACTCTAAGGCTTAAATTTAGATTAAAAAAAGAAATTAGTCTGGAATGAATATGGAGTCTTGGTGAAGTCGAGGCTGGAATAACTGTTGGATACTCTTAGTTTATCAGTGATCATTTTCTGATTCTTAACATTTAAAATAAGGGAAATGTGCATTAAATTGTTGTATTTATTTTCATCCATGGCAGCTGCTGGGAGCAAAATGTGGGGTGTGTCTCTCTATAGTGGGAACCTTAGAGAAAATATTGATCCATTTTTCTATTCTGTCTCTTTCTACCAGAAAAAAAMCTAAAAAATGCATCATCCAGGGTGAAAAACAATTAAAATCTAAATAAATGTAAGAAAAATATGACCAAAAAAAAATCAGAAATAAAAATATACTTAGCCTGGCCCCTGGGTGTTGGTTTTACGTGAAGATACTGACTTGCAGCTGAATGACGAGTGGGATATTTTTCTACTGAAATATTGATAGTAGATTACACTAAACCACAAACTACCTCCATAAAGCCCATCATTTCTAATCCTAATGGTGTTTTCTTTCCCTTGGCTGACTGCTACATTCATGAGATGATGGCTTTATTCTATCTGGGGGAAAAACTTTTTACCATACAGCTAAATTAACTTGTCAAAAGACTTCAAACTTCGGAAGCTTTTACAGCTCGATTCAAAGCTATTATTCAGGATTGAATGAGAAGGCTGTGGACTGTAAAAGCTGGCAAAAAAAAAAAAATTCAGCAGCACTGAGGAGTTGAATGGAACGCTTACTTTTTGTTCAGGTTGTGTGCATTTCATTGAGCTGTCTTGGAAGAGCTGGATTTTTGTATTTTAAGGCAAAATGCTTCTTTCTGCCGCTCTGGAAGCTGTGACCCAGTCCGTGCTCTTTCACACACACTTGGTTATATTTAGTTTGTGCCAACCTAAATAAGTGTCAACCAGCTCTCCAGAAATGTGGGGAGCACAAAAGAGAACGGCCAGCAGCTAAATCGAGGCAGAACAAGAACACAATTAGACTTATTTTTATCCTTTCCTTTTAGAATCAGATCATAGACTATCTTACAGTCAGCTCCAGCTTTCTCATGCAAATAAAAATGCCTGGCTTCAGGAGCAGCAACTTTTGGATTTTACAGAYGAGGAGCAGCTGGCAGAGCTTGGAGTCTTTCCTGTCGCCGATCC